ATTTTAAATGACCCCTGGCCCAGTGCAAACGTCTGAGCTTGTGGAGCTTGTTTAGAAATGGCTTCCTCTTTGCACTGTAGAGTTTCAGCTGGCAACGGCGGATGGCACGGTGGATTGTGTTCACTGACAATGCTTTCTAGAAGTATTCCTGAGCCCATTCTGTTATTTCCTTGACAGTGGCATTCCTGTTTGAGGTGCAGTGACATTTAAGGGCCCAGAGATCACGAGCATCCAGTCGAGTTTTACAGCCTTGACCCTTACGCACAGCGAATGTTCCAGATTCTCTGAATCTTTTGATGATGTTATGCACGGTTGATGATGATAACTTAAAAGTCTTTGCTATTTTTCGCTGGGCAACACCATTCTGGTATTGCTGCACAATCTTTCTACGCAACAATGGTGGAATTGGTGATCCTCTTACCATCTTGGCTTCTGAGAGACACTGAGGGTGCATTCACACTAGCCCTGTTTAGTCCGCTTTAATCGAACTCTAGCTCGTTTTCCTAGAAAGTCCGGTTCGTTTAGGGAGGTGTGAACGCGCCATCGAACTGTCACGGAACAAAAAGGCGAACTCTGGCCCGGGCTAAAACCTAGGTCTCGGTCCGGTAGAAGCAAACTCCAGCGCGGTTCAAGTGCTGTGTGAATGTAAACAGACCGAGTCCCGCTCCGCAGAGTAAACAAACACGCATTTCTCTGACCTTATGTAGAGCCGTCAGCTGCCTTGTGTGGAAAAACAATATTCTCCGTGGTCTTCTATCTCATCTTCTGCTCATGCTGAGTCCATTTTTGAAAAATGACAAAATATAACTCCTAAAACTGTTAAAACTTGATGCCACTTCGTTTTAATTTTTATTTACAGAAGAAGAAGACGACGTGTCTTCAGAGGTTTTTGTGTCGTTTCTTTCAGTAGTTATTGGTGCAGCGCCCCCACAGGCGAGCAGGGGAATAGGTTGGTTCAACAGGTTGACTCGACTGCACAGTGCAGTGTGAATGCAAACTCACCAGCTCAAATGTAAACAAAAGGTCATGAATATTGGTCCCGAACCGAGTCTACCGGACGATCTGGTGTGAAAACGACCTGACACTCTGAGAAGCTCTTTTTATACACAATCATGTTGTCAATTGACCTAATTAGTGTTAATTGGTCTTCCAGCTGTTCGTTATATGCTCAATTTCCTTTTTCCAGCCACTTATTGCTACTTGTCCCAACTTTTTTGGGATTTGTTGACACTGTGAAATTTTGAATCAACATATTTTTCCTTTAAAATGTTACATTTACTCAGATTAAACTTTTGATCTGTCATCTGTTATTTTACGAATAAAATATTGATATTTGCCGACTCCACATCATTGCATTCATTCAAAAAGTGTTCAATACAAAAACAACTGGACTTTATTGGTCCAGTTGTTTTGTATTGAACGCTTTTTGAATTCATCATGTCCTGGATGACTGAGAATCTTCACCAGCATCATTGCATTCAGTTTTTATTCACAATTTGTTTAGTGTCCCAACTTTTTTGGAATCTGGTTTGTACAATTATGGCTGGTTCCCAGTATTTTAGGGGTGAAAATTAGTCTATACTCTATATCGGTGCATAATGGGACAATTATCACAAATACCGATACGGTAAATGGTAAATGGACTGTACTTATATAGCGCCTTTCTATCTAATCAAGATTCTCAAAGCACTTTACACCACAATCTGTGTCCTCATTTACCCATTTAAACAGCACTCTACTAGATCTCTACAAAGCTAATTGAACAAATCATTCTAAAGAGACTAATCAGAGCTTTAGCTCACATTCATACATCGATGGGACACACATCAGAGGCTATGAGAGATTCAGTGTCTTGCCCATGGACACTTCGGCATGTGACTGCTGGTGGATTCGAACCCCCAGCTCTTACATTGGAGGACGACTGCTCTAACCACTCAGCCACAGCCGCCCCAAATATGTCCCCAAATGCCTATATCACCCTAAAATATTGCCCCTAAGATATATTAGTCGGGCTCTAGTTGTTGGTACTAATGAGTAGATTAAATGTTGGAATATACAGTAATTGTCTAGACATGTAAATGTTTCGTTTTAATTACCTGAACTTTATATTTGAGTTAAATTATGTAATATTTTTATAACAACTTATGGTAAACCAAAATTGCAAACACAGTCTTTAGATTATAAACTTTTTATTCTTCTGATATAACAGTTTGCAAAGCAGTGACCTCAAACAGCTCTATCTTGGTTTTATGTGATAAAAATCTGAGTGTTAGTTGTAGCAGCAAACAGGTTAGGGTCACTTGAAAAAGCAAAATAAGTTTATTTAAGGTGGCTTTTTCTTATCTGACTCTAAAACAGCACAGTACTTCTGCCAAGTTGGTGATAAAACAATAATGCTGAGTTTTTTTTAAGTCTTCTCTGGATTATTAGTCAATTTTATATGATCAATAGTCATTATCTTACCTGCTGCATTAATCACTCCATCTCCTTCTCAATCTTCTACCACTTAACTGTAGTCAGGTCATGGAGGCAAAGGTCCAAGAGAGAAATCCAGACAACCCCTCTCCTCAGCAACACTTCCTACTCCTCATAGTGATACACATCCCCTCCAGTGAGTTTTGGGTTGGCCACGGGTCCTCTTCCCTGTTGGACGTGTCTGAAAAATTTCCAAAGGGAGGCATCCAGAAGGCATCCTAATCAGATGCCCACACCACCTCAACTGACTTATTTCAATGCAGAGGAGCAACGGCTCTATTTCGAACTCCCCAGATGACGGAGCTCCTTGCCCTATCTCTAAGGCCAATCCCAGCCACCCTTTCAATGAAACTCATTTCTGCCATTTGTGTCCAGGATCTTGTTCTTTTAGTCATGATTGAAACCTCATGGCCATAGCTGAGTGTTCGAACATAGCCAGGGAAGTAAATCGAGAACTTTGACTTTTGACTCAATTATTTCTGCATCATGATCAACCAAAGCAATGCCTTCATTACTTTCTTCTTCTTTCGGCTTTTCCCTCTTCAAGTCACCCTTCTCATGCCCTTGATGTCCTCATTACTGAGGATGAGAAATTTGTCGATTCATCTCCCGCTCCATCACTCATGCAAAGCCTCCCCCATGACCTGAAGGGGGCATTCCACTTATTTCTATCACAACCATCCATGTGTCCATCACAACTTGGCTTTCTCTACTGACTATTAATGACTCCACAGAACACTAATCCAAACATGTAAAATATTCCTTTAAGAAACATATTTTTACATATTAGTACACATTCTGTATATGTGGAGGCAAAAGGACAAGAAGCCTTTGGTGTCTCTGTACTCGTGCATTTCCCATGCGTGATGTTTGAATAACACTATTTGAAACTAATTCTACTAATAAAACGTTAGTTTAGAACTTTTATTCTGGTGGTAAAATTCACTTTTGTCAAATAATTTTGTTCCCAGCATTTCATACTGTTCATGCTGTTTAAAATGCAGAGTAACCAGTGTCCTTTAGTGGCTCATGGCATAATCACCCTGAAAAACACCATTCCTGTCAGAATCCCAGTGCAGGCTGTGATGAAAGTGATTCCTCAAAATAATTACGTAAGTAGTTACTGCTTATTGCAACCAAATTCTCAGAGACCTGGTTGACATCTGGAAATGTAAATATACCAGTACAGAGATCCCAATATGCTTTATTATGAAGAGACCTAGTGGCTAATGTGTTCATTGCACCAAGTGAATCTGAAGTTTCAGCTTGCTGAACATCTTTTGCTCCAGCAGGTGTCAGAAGAGCAGTCGTATTGCAAGTCAGTTGCAAAGAAACAGGAAACACAGCTCTGTAAGCTGCCTCGCCATCACCCTCTGCTCAGAGATGCCTACAGTGATGATGGTTTGTAGCTGTTTGGTTCTACCCATGTAGTGCGCCAGTTTGACAATGTTTTCATCATCATATATATATATTTTTAAACAATTCTCAACCTTACAATATTTTTCAAATTTGCATTGGTGCATTGTTTAACTTTTGTATTTTTGTCTGTTTCATCCTTTTGTCTTCAGATATAAAAGTAGATATTGAGGTGGAACGCGAAGAAAAAGAGGAGTGGGCAAAACCTCTGACCCAGTTGTGGCAGTGTCGACCTTATAACCCCCAGGTCGAGTGGGAATATAACAAAAGGGTGGGTCAGCAGCCCCCTTACTGCTCCATCTGCTTGCTCTTCTACACTTACCATCAGGTAAAAATAAAACCAGTGTTTTAACTTTTAAGAAATTTATGATGCTGCATTTTTGGTCTGGTTCCCGTAATTTTTTATTTTTTATTAGTTTGTAGACAAACAAATTCATAAAACCTTTACAGTAGTAATAACTGAAAGAGGTATTTTTGATATATCAGCTTTAATTAATTGTTTAGGCAAGGTTTTTTTCCCCTGGGTTATTTTTTCAAGTACACTAGTCCCTCGTTTATTGTTGGGGATATGTACCCTGAATCTCCATGATGTGGAAAAACTGTGAAGTAGTGCAAGTAGTAAATAGTTTTTATTTATTTATTTTATATATATATATATATATATATATATATATATATATATACATACATACATACATACATACATA